ATCGTATCTGCGTGGGATAAAAAGAGGCGGTGGATGGATCTCTGGAGGGAAGGACAAACGGAGGAGCTTAATTGAATCCACCACGTCCATTCACGTTGATTAATTCAGTTCGATCACCGCAATGGGATACAATTATTTCATAGCGGAATGGTGGAAAGGACATTGCCACGTAACGTTTCTATCCTATATATATATATATATATATATATATATATATATATATATATATCCTCGATTCTAATAATCATTCGCGAACCGGGACATTTCATATGCAAAACGATCCGTTACGGAATATATTGGACACGGAGCGAATACTCGTCGACAAAAGATAATACACGATCCTTTTTTAACGATCGAAAAATATTTTCGATCGCTTCAATTAAATTTCACAACGCTCCCATACCCCCACTCGACGAAGTAAACAGGAATTATTTCCAATTATTAACTTTTGTCAAGTCCCACCCTTTTCGATGGAACCAGAGAGCTCGGCCCATTCAATATGTCACTCGCCCTCTTCACGCTAATTAATATAACAGCAAATATAATCGCGTGTTATTAATAATCGTTCACCTCTCTGAGAATGGTTATTATTCGAGGGAAACGGACGGGATGGATCCAGGATTGGACGGACGTGTTCCCTATCGATCGAATCGCGGCTGGGAACCGCGTTTTAACAAATACACCGGATAACAATTAATTTGACGAGAGACGACGACGAGGAATCGGCAACGAATCGACCACGCGCCCGTGGATCGTCCGCGTGTTCCACAACGGATTGTAACGGGAGGCTTTTCGGTCCAGATTATTATCCGTGACGTGTCGAGAATCGTTGTACAATCGATAACAAACAAGGGGATAATAGGGCGTCCGATCTGTTTCCATCGGTAAATAGAACGAGGAACGAAGATAAGCGCGATTACGTTCTCCGAAACGGCCCCCCGCGCGCAGTAGGGGGCAGAGGGATAACAAACCCTCCCCTCTCGAACCGATTATCCCCCCCGATCCACTACCCTTTCTGATAAATGACCATCCGACCTTCTGCCGAGCGCACGCGTTCCGGCTTGATACGTTCGAAAGACTTACTCTCCTCGGTCCTCGATCCGCAGCCGCGGGTGCGTGAAACGCGTTAAAGCACGAGATTGGAAGATTTGCCGCGAATCAATTTCATAGGTGATCGAGACGCGATGGTGGAGAAAAGTATATCGAAATATCGAATAGGGATTTAAAGTGACTGACGTTGCTCACAGGGAGGGGGGGGGGGGGGGATTGCTAACTAAAAACCTCGATGAGATTAGACAGAATTTCTGAATTGTTTCGAGAAGAAAAATTTTATCCAAGATATTTCTCGAGAACTTGTCTTCGAGAACGGAATAGTTGGAGTAAAAACGGAGTAATTTAAAAAAAAGAAGAAGAAAAAGGTAATCTCGATTTCGAGAATTCGTCCTCGATCCATCTCTTTCGATATCGTCGAAACGATAATTGATCGCCGTTCAACGTTGATAACAAACGTTGAACAAACGTTGAGAAATCGAATTTCGAGGATAAAAAGAGAGACGGGGGTCGGTCCGTCGCGCGATTCATAATTTATTTCGCCGCGTCGCGAAACAAATTTACGGGCGAATGTAATTTGGCGCGCGCGTATCACCGATTATTTTCCCACCCTCGCCTCTCTACGCGCGCTAACGTTCGTAGCGTGTGATCATCGGCGAGCGGATATTGCGGAAACACGCTCACAGGTTGCGGTGGTACGTATGGACCCGGGGAGGAGAGAAGCCGAGGGTCTAATTTCGCGAACAGTGGATAACTTCGAGAAGACAATCTAACTATCTTGCTCACGTACGGAACAACGGTGTAACTAAGGAGATAGCCAAAGGGTTCGTGGGCCCGGCACACAAGTCCAAGTCCGTCTAAGAAGTACTTTCCCTCACGTATCGCAGGTCCTTCTGTTTCTAAGATGAACAGATCGTGCGGAGTACAAGGCTTTCCAACTACCACTCTCTCCTCCCCCCCCCCTCCCCCTTTTCTCAGTTTCTCTCGAGCTTCGGGAAATACCGTTGTAACCGTAGTAATAACGTTGTTACGGAAAATCCATCGAACTTGAGACAAGGTTCCGCGAGTTTTAGAAACGTAATAACCGAAACAACCAAGTTTAAAATAACGGATATACGATTTAAATTACGAGATGTTCGTATTATGAGATGGGAAAAAATTTCTAAAATGTAAATAGAATGGGAAAACTCTAGAATTGTAAAAGAACGAGTAAAAAAAAAAAAAAAAGAAGTAAGTAAATTCAAAGTATAAGAGAATAAAAAAAATATTTTATAACATCGACGAGACGTCACGTATGAAAAAAAAAAAAAGAGAGAGAAGAAAAAAAAGAATCTCTCGATTCTCATAGCGAAAAACTTTTACCTATTGGTTGAACACGAATTCATGGGTTAAGAACACGTTGCGATACGATAAAATAGAAGTAGGAAAAGAATCGAATTGTTCGGACGTACGCGTTTTTCACAATAAGCTCGAGAACAAGCGGGATAGGCGGCAACGCGATCAAATTTCCATATCGAACACCTCCCGATCCCTTATCAAACAGTTTCAGAATTCAAAATCATCGAAGTCTGGCGCTCGTTTGCATATCTCGCAGAAGAAGAAGAGAAAAGAACTTCCAGTTAAACTAACGCCTCGCTGTTCCAAACGTAAAAATTCCTTAAAATATGCGCAAGATCGATTTATACATCGGGACTCTTGTAAAAAACGGCACGTACCGTTATTAATCAAAAGAAAAAAAGAAAAACGAAATTAACCGATTAAACCAGGCGCCCCTATATTTCCCTATCGCGAGCAAACACTTTCTTCACACCTCTATCTCCAAAAAGTGTCGTCGATACATCGAGCCCGCTTTAATTCTAATTCAACTCGACTCGAAAGATCGGCGTATCCCCCGAACGAAGATCCCGTTTCACACCCGCCCGTTTCAAACTACTTTTCGCCACCGAGTTGATAAAGATCGGGCGGAGGGGGAAAAAAATTGCAACCGCATCCCGACTAATTTGTATCCCTGTTCCCTGAAGGGATAAGCACGGCGTCCGTGCACGTAGCTGAATAAAACATCGGTCGGATCCGAGCGGGTAACTAAATTTTAAGCAATGGCACGGCGCCGCCACTGCCGCCACCGCCACTGCCGCTTTCCAAAGTTCAACGACACGTCGCCGTACTCGGCTGCGGCCGCGAAACTCGTGCCCGCTCTGCCGGGAATCTGGCATAAAAATTGTAAATCGCGGATATAACCTCGCGGCGCACCTCCGATACCGGAGGGAATAATCGTGCATTACGATCGGCCGCGAAACTTCTTCCTCCTCCTCCTCCTCTTCCTCTCGTCGCGCTTCCGCGGTACTTTGAATAAAAATGCGGGGGAGAAGAGGAGAGGGGGGAGAAAGGCGGCGAAAGGAAAGAAAGACCACGAGAGAGAGGGTTTCCTTGAGGGGTTCGCCACTCGAACGAAACGGTAAGAGGGACAGGCCCGAGAAGAGAAGAGGCACCCGTTGACTTCTTCTTCATTAATGGTAATGATCGCGTTCAGAAAGTCTTCTTCGGGAAACTCGCGAAAAAGGAAGCATCGCGATTTGTATTCAGGACGCGATATGGGGTTGCTAGCGTAGCGTGGAAGCCAGGGTTCGAGCCAAGTCGGGGTGGGGGTGGTGGGTGGATTCGCGAAATAAACTCTCGAAGAAAGGGGAAGAGAGAGAGAGAGAGAGAGAGAGGAGAAGTAGAAGGGGAGGAAGGGTGGTGGTGGTAGTAGACTCTTGCGCTCCAGTTCGGCTTCCGACAATAAAAGTGAGCTAAGACCACGCACACGTTGACACGGTGGCGTCGTTCGCCCGTGAACGTGACGGTCGGTTGTGAGCGTGTTCCACTAGAGGAGCACTCGAGGGGTGCCTCGTTTCGGGTGCAGACTTTATTCGGCGACGTCGCTCGCCGTCTCATTGCTCGCAATAATCGAACGAAATCGAGAACGAATGATAATTTCCATCGAGAATGTCAGAGGTTCGAGAGCAGGGTGGATGGGAATCATGGGGAGGACTCGTATCAGAAACGCATAACTATAATGCATGATGATGTCCCATCGCCAATCTGTGCACCATTGTTATCGATTACGACGAATGACGCGGTTTCTCGTTTCGGAAAAGGAGGACGAGGCAGGCGGAGAGAAAAGAGAAAAACCCTTTACAGGTTGATTTAAGCGGCGCGGCGTAAAAGATAACGTCGAATCCTTCTCGTGCACACGCACTCGGGATTGTGTGACTTTTCTCTCTCAAAGAAGAGGGTGACAAAAAAAAGTTACGCATCTTGCGGCTCGTTTAAACGAAACCTCTTAATGGGGAAGCGACTTTGAATGTTGTCGAGTAATTAAATAAAATATGGAAACACGTTGCGTGTTTTTCTAAAGTAGTTCCTTTTTCTCTCTTTCTTCTTTCTTTCCTTTTTCCTTTTTCCTTTTTCTTTCTTTCTTCCTTTCTTTCTTTCTTTTTTTATCACGGATGGATCTTTTCCACCGGTTTTTCTACCCCTCCGGTATTGTGCCTCATCGCCGTTTGTGCGAAAATAAATGCACACGGGACTGGCGCGTGTTACGTTTGCAGAGAAACCGCTTTAGCTTTCGAGATACCCGCCACGGTGCAAACTCTTGAGTAAACGTACTTAGGTCGAAGCTGGCGGGGGTTAAAGGCCGGCGGTTGATGCCTTTCTTCCTCCCCGGTAAACGTAATTAAAAATACTCGCTTGGTTAATTTTGAAACGCGGGGGGCACTACCTGGAGACCACGTTATCACCGAAAAATTTTCTCGACGGTGGTGGTTTTCGATAACCAAAATAAGAGATGCTTTCAACAAGGGAGTTATATCTACATGCGATTAATCATCTTGAATTTTACCAGGTGGAAAGTAAGAGTAAGAGTAAGAGAAAGAAGAAGGGAGTGTCGCGCGTAATGTCCTTAAGATTACCGTATTACAGCTATCGTAGTTAACTTCATCGAAGGTCCAATGAAACGGTGATACAGATGTGCGCCTCGCAGTGACTTGTTACAATAGCATTTCGCTAACTGTCGGCCAGTTATCCCCACTAATTCCTAGAATTGCTTCTATGGTGCGAGCATCCATGTTATCTGCGACCTATGATCGGCGTTATCTCAGGTAGCGATGAGTCAAACCGAGAAGATAATAGCTGGCAATCCTGAAACACCTACATGCCTCGATAACTGTCACGTTAGAATCCCACAAGTATGTGTAAGTATCCTTGTTTCGCGTCGATCATCAACGTGACGTGGTTTCACATCTCTATAAATATCTCGACGAATCGGTAATAATTTTAATTTTAATTTTATCACGTAATATATTGTACACCTTTGAATTTTCCATAAATATCATTAAACATCCCCTATCGTATTTTAAATTTTAATTACCAACCTGTATCCAATCAAAGGAGAGGAAGATTCTTCCAACATTTTTTTCCATTAAAATCCATGGATGCTTATCGGAGCACAAGTGAAAATGGCCAAGCCCACAAGTTTATTTGGGACGGCATCGTTTATCGAGCGAAGACCTGAAACATAGTTTATTTTTGTTACAATAGAAGAAAATATCGCGAGAAACCGGACGTAGCGTTATTTTCAGTAGATCGCAAATAATACACGAGACTGACGAATCCGAATGGAACTCGGTAGCACCAACGTTTGAAACCTTAAATGCACGATAAAGTGTCCCAAGTTTTATATATATATATATATACAAAATACACGTGCGCGTAAAATGGCATCGTATGACGTCGCGCACGAGATTTTTGGATATTTTTCAAAAAACTTACGAGCTTGACACTTGGCCGTGGCGGTGAATCGAACGTGGGGCGAAAAACGAGACGCTGATCATCACACGCGCTGGTCCATGCCCTCTCACGGGATTAGTCAAATCCCAAAATAATACCGTGGGCGAGAGAGCGCGGAGTTTGCATACACCGTGGTACAAATCTACGCGACGATGTAAATCGGACGGTTTAAGCTGTTTGCGTATAAATTCGGAACACGGTCTATTAAGTATTCACGTCATTCGTGATTTATATTCCGCCCCTATTTCAGGATCTGTCGTTTATACGTCGGATAAAGAAACGAAAATATGAATCAAATAGCGAAACAACGTCCCGACTAGCATCCCTGTCCGAATACCCTCCAAAGTGCCCCCCCCCCCTCCCGCTACGTAGTATCCGCCTACGTAATCCCATCCTCTTTAAACTTTACCGACCGAGTAGTTCATCGAAAACACTTCTTCTTTGAAAGCGAATAAGAAGAAGAGGAGGAGGAGGAGGAGGAGGAGGAGGAGAAAGAAGAGGAAGGAAGAGAAGAAGAATATTTTCCACGAATGGTAAGAATAATCGCCAAGACAGTGGAGGAGAAGGATGGTGCGTCGAATGGCGCGCGCGGCCGTATTTCTCTGTTTTGATCTCGGACAGCGGGCGCGCAGACAGCAAGAGAGAGCGAGTGGACTTGAAAATAACCGAAGGCGGGAGAGGGCCCCGTTTCTATTAATAGAGAAGAGAAGAGTATCTTTGTCGTACGTGTTCGGCGGCGACGGCGACGGTCTCGCAGCGAAATTCGTCAGTCGATTTATCCCGTTCCGCGATACATTCCTCGCACGTACACGCCGGGGAAACGCGTAACTCGATCGGAACACCATGTTCCGCGCAAGTTTGCGTCCGTACCCGGCAACCGTTCTCGCCGTCTGCTGAATTTCCACTCTCGCCGCCGCCCGTTCCCTGTGCAGGCCGAAAACCGTGGGCGAGGTTAGAGAAAATACCCTACGGGACGGGCGAGAGGCGTCCAGGGCGAGGGGGTGGAGGTGGGATCGAGGGGAGAGAAGGGAAGGGATCAAGATTGGATCAAGAGCGACTTGGAGGAAACGACTTGAGAACGAGGAGAAAGGGGAGGGTGGCGTATCGCGATCGCGAACGCGAACGTTAAATACCGCAAGATTCCTCCAACACCGAGTCTCGGCCAGGTTTCCCTTTAACGTTAGAGACGAACTGGAAGGAAGTTAAAAGCGCGTCGGTGAGTGAGAATCTAAATAAAGAACTATGCAGTGGAGCAGTGGATGAGCGGAGTGGGGCGGAGTTGGCTTCGAGAGGGAATATGCGGTGAGTAAGAATGGTACTGCGAGCCGCATGCAGCATCGAGGCGAGCACATTCTCCAATGGCGTGCGGAACAGCGAGCGAGACGGAAGAACGCCGGACGTCGCCGCGACGGAAGCGTCCGTGGACCGCGTAGAATCGCGTACAGTGAACGAGGGTCGTGGGAACGCGAGATTCTCCCTGTTCAGATGGTTCAAACGGTCCGGTAATCGGGACTCGAGCGCGGAGAAGAGGCGGAAGACGATCGGGAGATACGCGGAGGGCGGCGAGAACGGGCGGCGAAGAAGCGTCTCGTCGAGCGTGGAGAGCGTGGACACGTTCTACAGCACGACGACGGTGCGTAGTTTCGCGTTTCACACCGGTACACTGGGCAAGTGCGATGGATTCTCGTTAGACGTATTGGAACAAGCGGGCGAGGTTGGCCCGTTCGCGGCCGGAGCCTCGAAAGTTGTCGCGGTTGGCAACAAAGAGAACGAGTTAGCGTCCACGTTGCCCGCCAACGTTCACAGAACAGACATAACGGCCAGATACTCCCTGCAACCGTCGACCGCGTTCAACTCCTGCGGGAATCTATCTCCCCTTCCCGATCGAACCTTGTTGGAATCTCTCGAGGGGTTGGACGAGAGGAAGGCCCGTTACACCGTCAACTCGACACGTAGACGGGTGCACGTGAAAGGGAAGCGGCGAGCGCCTAATCCTCCCGCGAGCTCGATCAAGGGAACGGAGGTAGATGCACGCGAAACGCCGAGGAACAGTAGCAGGCGAAAGCGACGCGCGCCGAAACCGCCTGGGAAGATCGTGGACGAGCGTGATTCGCGTGCGAAAAAGTGGGAGGATCGGGTTACCGATGGCGGAATGGACGCGAAGGAAACGCGGCCGGACACCGAGGACGTGCAGACTCTGAGCAACGACACGCTGGTCCTTCAGGGGGGCGTTCTATTGTCGAAACGGGAGGTGAAACGGGAGACGAAGAGCACGAGGGACACGAGTGGCGGCTCGCCGGACACGGCCATTCTTCACGAGAACCAGAGTGCGGCGGCCACTGGTGCAACTTTGAGCGCAGCCATGCCACGACCTTGGTACAAACGGAGCGTCTTCGAACATTCTCGGGATTCCGGCGCGTCGAGGAGGGGCGATGTCCTCCGAGCTCCGACAAGCTCGACGATCGAAATAAAAGAAGAATGCGGTGCCGCGAACGCGACTACGACCATCACCATCACCACCACCACCACCACCACCACCACCACCGCCGCCGCCGCCACTTCCACCGGTTATTCCGTGGACGCGTCTTTGTCCAGGTTGAGCTTCTTTCATCGCGGTGGAAGCCAAGCCGAGGACAGAAAAAGGGAGGCGAAACGAAGATCGGGCCTCTCGATTCTCACCAATATCAGCGAGCTGGACAAAGAAGCGGCCGCGATCGTTCAGGAGGAACAGGCGCGCGCCAGGGCCTCGATGCTGTTCAATTCGTCGAGATTCGTGGACGCGTTCGAGAGGAGGAGCGACGCGAACGAGGAACTCGTTCAAGACATCGTCACGTCCGCGATGGAGAGTTCGTCGCCCAGGCGTGGCACGCGGGCTCTCATCTCCAAGTTCAACGCCATCAGCAATATCACCAAGGTCACGGTGAATTCCAATTTCTTCGCGAGGAACGCGAGGGATCAACAACCGGGGAAATTCGAGCGGGACGGGGCGAGGAACGCCAAGGTCTTCGAGCATGGCAACGATCGCCATTGGAACAAGGATCATCATCCGAGATTTTCCTTTCAGTCTGCCGGCGGGCAAGCTGGCCGCGTCGAGAAAGATATCTCTAGATATTTTCCACCGCAGCAAAAGGCGGGCAAAAGCAGCAGGGTGGAGAACGCGGAAATGGGTGGTAAGATTTCGGGAACGAAGAGCGGGCCGAGCAAGGAGCAGAACGATAAATTGGCCAGTGAAACTTCAAACAGAATATCGTTCCTGCAGAGTCAATTGGCCGCGAATCGTACGAGCGATCAAATCCTTCGAAAGGATAGCTGTGCGCCCCCGACGACGGAGGAAAAAATTAGATCGAAACAGGAAGAGAAGAGGGAGAAGGAGACGAGAACGAGTAACGAGGATCTACGAAGATACTTGTTCCCTCGTAATTCCGCGGAGACGAGGGAACGCGTTGCGTCGAGGAGCGTGTTTGAGGAGACAAGAAAGTTGAACAAGCAACAACGCGTGGACGGTGTGCAGAAAGAATTTTCCGATATATTCGACGAGATCGACAAACAGCTACGTACGAAAGAATTCAAATTTATCGATCGGAGGTCGTTGCTCGAGAGCGCGACACCCACTAATCAGAGAAATAAAGTTGGCGAGGAGGAAGCCGGAATATCAAGTAAGGTAACCAAAGTGCTCGATATCCTGGTGGAGGCGGAGAAAGACGCCAAGACAAAGAGCGGCGCGCCGCCAGAAAAATCGATAATCCTCGAGGATACCTCTCGTCCGACCGAGCCGAACGTGAAAACGAAATCGGGTAATAGCGGCAGGTCGCCGTTATTGAACACCATCGAGGATCCAATTACGACGGATTTAAAGGAGATGTTGAAGGAAATGAAACACTCGTTACCGAAGCGTTCGAAACCCGGCAAAATTGTGACACGTAACACCGACGTGACGGAGAAACCAGTGGTGACGGAGAAAGAAACGGTTAACGTTTCGGATCCTGGCAAGACCAGGTATTTCGTTTCCGCGGTAACGAAAGTCGAGAATATAACGGTGCCAAACGATTACGAGCTGGACAAACAAAAGGTGTCGTGCTCGGTACAAACTAGCGGAAATATACGAAGATTGAATCAACCGTCCGCATCTGTGGAGCAACCGTCCACCTCGGGTTGGAAGCAGGAAAACGTGCTCTACAAAACGTCCGGGAAAAGCTTGGGCAGTTCCGGATTGAAGAATACATTTCAGTTGATACGACCCCGAGATTTTGCTGAAATCGAAGCGACAAAAACGACGAGGGCCGCGCTCAACGAGAACGCTTACGCCAATGTGATCGAGCAATCCATCTACGCGAATGCACACGTCCCCCCTCCCTCTCCCAAACCACGTTCTAATTCCTCGCGACCAACCAACGTTACGAAAATTGATAATACCGCATCGAAAGCATCGCCCACGATTCAACGAAAATTCCCCACGCAGGAAGATACGTTCGAGGGTAGCGGCGAGGAAGGTAATTTTAATTAAATCAGATTTAGATTTCTTTTTCTTCTTCGAATGAGTCACTTGCCTAAATTTAGATAGATTGTTCGCTCAAGCGTTTTTCCCTCTTACCACGTTAACGCGCGTGTTCTCTCTCTCTCTTTGCGACAGATGACAATTCAGCGGAGAAAAATATGAACACGCTGGCCATAAACCGATTACTCAGAAAGTTAGAGGCGGCAATCGCGTCTGGCCATCATCAACAAGCGGCAGGTTTGGCGAAGGAGCTAGCACGGCTTAAAATTCATTGTTCCGTGATTCGACAACGATCAGCTCGTCTCAAAGATCAGTTGATTAAAGTCAATATGTACATAGAAGACAAGCTTGCCCACCAGGGACCGATACCCCTTCAGGTAAATAGCGTTGCCCACTCGAATCAAGGTAGCTTAAGTTTGCCAATCCGTGTGATGATATTAGATGCCGTACTAAGCCAAAATAAAATAACAGCTGCCGAGCAGGATGACGGTGGCCGAATTGAAAGCGAAAATATATACGGAATTCGAAATACCGATCAATGTGCAACGATGGATCATAGGTAAAAATTTAGCAGATCGCGACGAAGCGACTCTGAACGAATTGCAGGCTGTTAATGGATCTCCGGTATTCTTGTATCTCGTTGCTCCAGGTACTAAAAAAAAAAAAAAAAAAAAAAAACAAAAAAAAGGAAAGAAATGAAATAATAAATAAATAATATTTGATGATTAACATACTTGATTATAGAATTAAGATCTGAAAGTGTCGTACAAATAGAAAAAAGTAGCGGTACAGAGGAAATGCCAAATGTGCCAAATATGCCAAATGACGACGCGAGCACATCTACAGAAGTGCTGCAGATTGTGGAACAAGATCACGAAGAAGTTGAAGAAGAACCTCAGGTATTGAATATTTTATTTTCACGACACTTTCTATTTTTCTTGGCAAAAGATATTCTTTTTTTTTTTTTTTTTTTTTCATAAATTCATCTCAATAAATACATATAGGAGATAGAGGAGAGAAACACACCAGTGGAAGTGAAAATGGACAGGTACGAAGAGTTGATTTCTTTGGAAAACTGCGATGTTATACCGAACTCCGAACCGATCGAATGTCCCGTATGCTTTGTTACATACGGCCCTCGTGAAGGAGTTATCTTGAGGGATTGCTTACATATGTTCTGCAGGTATGATAATTGCAATAATTAGATGAAAATAACGCTTCATACAAATCATCATTTAACCAACAATTTTACCTTAGATCATGTATTGCTAATACGATTCGATACTGCGAAGAAGCCGAAGTGAAATGTCCTTATAGAGACTCGGAATACACCTGTGAGTCGACTCTCCAAGAACGTGAAATTAAAGCTGTAAGTTAATTGTACAAATTCGTTAAAAGTATAATATTTAACACAAACTTAATACACGATTTTATTACATAGCTCGTCGAACCAGAAGTTTACCAGCAACATTTAGCCAAATCGATCGCTCAAGCGGAAAACAATGCTGGAAACAACGCGTTCCACTGTAAAACTCCGGACTGCCCTGGCTGGTGCATCTACGACGACGACGTGAACAACTTTCTTTGCCCCGTGTGTGGTGCGAACAATTGTCTCACTTGCCAGGTCGAAAAGCAAAATTTAATTATTCTATTAATTATTCTATATCGTTGGAATATTGAAATATTTAAATAAGCAAAATTAATTAATATTACATTGATAAAAGTTTTACAGAAATATTTACCTCGCAGGCTATTCATACTGGCAAAAATTGTAAACAATACCAACAAGAATTGAGATTATCGAAGGAAACGGATCAAGAATCGCGAAGAACTGCCGAGATGTTGGAGGAAATGGTAGATAGGGGTGAAGCACTCGCGTGTCCCACATGTGCTGTTGTTTTGATGAAAAAATGGGGTTGCGATTGGTTGCGTTGTTCAATGTGCAAAACCGAGATATGCTGGGTAACGAGAGGTCCACGTTGGGGACCTGCAGTAAGTAATCGATACGTAACAATGTTATCGTTCGATATTGAAATATTAGTACACATTTTTACGACTCGATTGTTTTATTTCTATATTGATCCTATTTCGGATGATTCGCATAGGGAAAAGGGGACACATCCGGAGGCTGTAGATGCGGAGAAAACGGAGTCAAGTGTCATCCTCGTTGCAATTACTGTCACTGAGAACCATCAAGAGATACAATTACCGCAACGATGCACGACGGATGGATGCAATGGAAGAAAAGGAGTGCAAATGCACCATGGATCAAAATATTTTTATATCATTATCAGTGTCCCCGTATATCGGGATGAATCACTAGTCAAAGCATCAAATGGCTTGATATATTATAATAACGAGTTTTGATAAACGATAAAGTTGATACTGATAAGTTACATTACGTATACGTCGCATACGCTGCTTGCTCAATGATTAACCTTATCGCGGAACCGTCCTTCATGGAATTGGAAAATAATTGAAAGTAATAAAGAGGACAGACACCTCAGTTTTCAACCATCATTCTTATTTTTTTATCGTCACAAAGGGCATAGGAGAATAAATTGTACTTTACTTAAAGCTTCGTGTGCATCATAAACGTATAATAAATTATAGATACAGGTATCTTTGCAATTATACAGGCACCGATTTTTTATCGTCGGAGGTTGTCTCATTTGTACCGATCTGTTTCAGTCGTGTCAACAGTGTCGACTGATGGTGTGTAAGTTGTCGAGTCAGATTAACGCCTCCTGCATTTTGTAATACTTGAACCAAATTCGATTGCGCCATTGTGATATCCATTTCTCCAAACTTCAGGAAATCATCGTACTTCAATACTTGTCCTTCTAACACTCCCCCTAAAAAAGAAATCAAATTTGTTAATAAAGTCATTCTGCCATCGTTTCTCCACCTGCTTACCTAATATATACATTTTCTTGCTTTTTTTGATAATTTTGTTTACAATGGGTACTTTTATTTCAGAACTGAATACAAATGCAGTAAAATTACTAATTAAAGGAGCAAGATTTTCGTAAGGCGAATTCTTAATAGCATTATGTACGATATGAGACCCATAACGTTTGTAGTGCATATTTTCCTTGAATAATGCAACTTTGATATCGAATACGTCCAGCTCCATAATACTATTCACATGCAATACAGCAATCATTTTTGAATTATCAAACCAATTACGAACTTCTCTTGCTATTATCGTATCATAAATTCCAAGAGAGTGCTCGATTTTCTTTGTTGCGTTTTTGCACAATTGATCCAGAGTTTTATCCTTGTTAGGATTAATAAAGAAGGGTGTTAAAAGTTCGTTTAATACTCGCTTTTTAAAAGATATTTTTGGTTTTCTAATATTTATCTTTCCCCTGTAACGCTTTTGTTGGTACAATAATTGATTCGGGATTAACTGAAATGCTAGAACAAAACAAATATATTTGTAAATGAAGATAAATTCCTTCGCCATCCAGTTAATTAATATATCTATTTACCGTGATTATCCTAAGTTTAGTAACACACTGTTTGTATCGATTGTTACTTCATGTGGATGTAAATTAGAATTTATGAGGAATCTTTAACATTATCATGATCATGATCAAATATTTGCCTAATAGATATCGATAGTAGTTCCCGTTTTAAAATTATCGGTTATTCAACTTACACACTGTTTATATTACGTGCATAGTTTTATTTTAAAAATAGATACATGTATATGATCGGTACGAATTGAAGACAAATACAAAAATTATATATATATACAGAATAAATTTTTTTTTTTTTTTTTTTTTTTTTTAATTTGCGATGATATAAGGCACTTTGGGACAAATCATACATATTTAAGTACATACGATGCAACGGAGTACATACGTGCGATGGGTGTTAAAATGTATATATTTCGTGTATAATATGTGTTTCTAGGTGTTATGCACAAATATGTTTATGTATACTTTGAATTCCGTATCTACGTTATAAATCCTCCCCCCCCCCCCATTTTTTGTATATTATGCGATATAATTGATCGTTCCACTACAATAATTACTGGATTCGTGACGAGCTTCTATACTATCACCGAAATTGAGCGATTTCCTATTCTTCCCTAATCGAAGCATCGAACGTATCCCCCCTTTCTTTCGTGAACGCTTATATCGATCATCCAAGGCTGAATTGAGAGATGCTTGTTTCACGTCCCCCCGACTATTTGGAAAACCCTCGCGATCATCCTTAAAATTATTGCTCGTTATCTCGCCATGTACATCATCAACAAGCCAGTGTTTCCTTGGAGAAGTGTACTTATTATTACATCCAGGTATAGTATATACGTATTCTGACTGAGCAGGATCGACCGATTTCTCGTATCGTTTCATATTACTATCACTTGCCGTACTGCCGTCGGTAGCAGCTTTATTTTTATTCTTGTCGTAACTTTCTGATTTAACTCCCCGCCTGGTATGATCTTCCGAATCAACCGATTGATTCGAATGCTTCTGATTCGCTTGTTCCTGATTCTTATTTTCCCGGCCTTCCCGTAATTTTTTATTTCTCTTATACGTATCCGTATTCTTGGCATCTAAAGCAGCATGTCGCTTCTCCGACATACTCTGTCTACCTAAAGCATCGCGGGAAAATTTATTGGAGGAGGAGCTAAATTCCTCCAAAGATAATTGACTATCGTACGTCGGATCCCCGGAATACTGACTATCTTTATCGTCCGTGTTTCGTTTAGCTTCATTGCACTGCGGTTCATTGGAATCTTCTAGCAATACTGGTTCCGCGCGGTCATCACGCTGTCCTATTGTAATTTTTTTCACGCTCGCAGGTTCTATCCATGTTTTATTGGTAGCGATACAGTAACTTTCATTCCTTAAACTATTCTTATTATACTGTTCGGTTAATCTATCGATAACTGGATTCCACGGTGATGCCATAACGCAAGACAATAGTCCACCATTGTCCAAGATATCTGATTGGGAATTCAAATTGTTCTTCTCTTTTACCCTGCCCTCGCTGGCTTTCGTGGAATCAGATATGTATATACTGTTGGCCGATTCCAGTTTACACTGAGAAGATAAATTTTCTGACAAATTTTTTTCATTTCCATCATAGGAAGATATCCTCCTGGCTATCGTGAGAGTGATCACTCCAGTTAAAGAGCTGTTTGTATTGAGCATTGCTCTTCTCAGTGTTTCCATTGCATCCGAGTTTGATAATCCTAATAATGATACCCCATTTACATTGAGCAATTGATCATTGGTCCTTAATCTTCCATCCCTAGAGGCTGCACCTCCATGAAGGACACTTTTAATAAAAATTCCTAAATCCATATTAGTGTTTTCATCTGTATTTGTAGTCTTTCCCTTAACACTAACACCTAATCCAGCTTTCTCTGAATCATGTACTGGTATATCTAAAGTCAATATCATACGATTTTTACGTGGTGATAAAACAATATCTTCTGAAGATTTCACTGGTTTAAATGTGCATTTATCATAGTTATGGGTATTAATTTTATCTTGCACTTCAGTGTTCTTTTTTATTGGTGATGTATTCAATGCATTCCAATATTTAGAATTATCAGTAGTTTCTGAGGCTTGATTTGTGGAAGTAACATGAGAATGAGAATCTGGAATGCTTGAAGAAATTTCTTCTTGGCGTGATACAACCATTCTTACTTTTCCACCAGGTGGAATACTTCTTAGAAGTGAAACCACCTCTGCTTGACTTTTACCAGTCATTTCTTTATTATTTACCTCCAATAATCTGTCTCCAGGCCTTAATCTACCATCTTCAACTGCAGCACCTTTTGGTAATATATTTTTAATATATATTGGACAATGGCCTCCTGCAGGATTATCACGTGTTGTGACACTAAATCCAAGACCATTACTCCCTTTTGTTAATTCTATTTCTATCATACGTCCAATCTTACGGGTATTAGCAGTCTGCAACAAATTATAATTGCTACATTGAAGTCTTTTAACATTATCATCAATTTCCTTTTCCGATCCTCCGCTAGTATTGCTATGATTTTTATGTAACGACTTCTCATTACTTTTTGACTTTTTATGTTTCACTATAGAAATTTGTAAACATGATTCAGTCATACAGGTACGAAAAATCTCTTGCACTTTAGAAAATGGTATATGCAATAGATTGTGACCATTTATTTTTATAATCTTATCGTGCAAATCAATTTGACCATCTCTAGCAATTCTGCCATTTGGTTCAATACCTTCAACTCTTAGTCCCTGATCATTACCCAACAAATCATAACATGGCACCACATGAAGCCCCAGTGGTCCTGCTTCATTCTTTATCACAATTTCTCGAATTTCTCCTTGATCTCCTGATTCTATATTGGCATTTATATATTCAAATGACACTTTGGCATCTTGTCCCAATGGTTCTCTACGCCGAGACTCTCTGGGAAGGGACTGAGCAGAATATGTAGTTAAACATGGCTCTCTGGTTGATAGTGCATGCATTGATAATCTTTTGGTACTTTCTCTTTTAATAGCATTGATAGGAATTGAGGAATGTGTATCAATTGTATAAGTTGGTTCTTTACTATCTGAATGAAAAAAATCAGGACTATTTGTTCCAACTGAACTTGCTCCATCACCACCGGCATGCGAAACATCAGAACTCACAAAATGAGCAACAATCTGTTCTCTATCATCAGCTACATCACATAACCTATCATCTGGATCCAAGAGACCACCTCCAGTTAAAGAAGATAAACTATTTATAGTTAATGTATTATCATTCTTTCCAGTTGCCTTTTTATACCTTAGAGTAGCCTCATGCATTAAATCTTTAACAAGTAGGGTTCCATCCCCACAAGGAACCACCACCCGGACGTTGTCGAAACACACAGTTACCTTCATGTTCGTTCCGATTTCATATTATCTTGTTATACGTTTACAAGCATTTATTGATTATTTCTAATATAATAGCACGTTTGAAATATTATCTTGTGTATTATAAAACGAATATAATCAAAGAACTGCACGTGTTATGAAATATATAAAATTATAAATTTCTTTTCTATAACACGATTATCTTCTATTATCTGTCGTATACTTCCATATTCCGATAATGAATCACCGACATTGTACACTGGACACTTTATTTTTTTTATTGTTGATTAAATTTCTTTAAAAACTAAGTGTATATATCAAAATTAAGTAGACATATTCGAAATAAAAAAACTTTGTCACGATTGATAAGGCGGACGCGTACGCCCAACTTTATCACAACATCAAATATGCGGAACAGACGCACTCGCCATTACCACATTTTATTCCACTATTCCTTCTGACAATTCAATGGAATGTAAGAAATATGGCGATACAAACAGTGTGGCCAACAAAATAACCTATTGTACCGCTTCATTTTCAATAATCGAACGAATATATTTTAACCATATTAAGAAAAGATTAGAATATTAACACTTACCTTTCTTTATAAAATGAGCCATTATTTAATTATATTCTTCTTAAAACAAAGGCAATAAATGCTTATAAATAATTTTATATGTTCTTCACTCATTAACTCACATCCTTATTTATACACTGAACACATTGAAATGGTTCGAATCCACTGGTTCGTATTTAACCTTCAAATTTAAAGGCTGTCTTTCAATTAACGAAAATTTCATCGATTTAATAATGAAAGACTTATCTTCAATTGGCGAATAACTAATATATGACATTGTTATGTGACATTGACTTATATTTCATAAGGGTTATTTTTACAAATTTCTACAATATTTTGATTAAAGATATTTATATCATTTACCTTACTATATATTGTATTAAATTAAAGAGAAAATAAACTGATAGTCATTCCCAACATAATGGATTAATTCATTAACACAATCCAATGGTTACCTACCCAAACCTTACTTACATTCTGAAACGTCAAGATTTGAAGAAAATTTCTAGTGATTAAACCATTTTTTCATTACGTCATTATTAATTGATAGCACAATAAAATACAGATATTGTTAATTTTGCAAAAAAAATGAAGTGGTTTGAAGGTAGTATCAATGAAGCAGTGGCAACCTCAAAATCCAGGAAAGCAATTTTTGTCGTTTTTATCGAAGGTATATACATATTTGTAATGTTAGGTTAAGTTATTGTTCAATCTATTATTATATATTTTTCATTAATATTAACTTGTATTTATGATTAGAAACATTTTAAAACTTTTCTTTTTTTATATTTTCTGTCTTGATAATTATAGCTTGCATGCTTTATTATTATAAAATAAATAACCTTGTAATCCATATTTATAGGAAAAGATGATACATCTGCACAAGTTGCCGAAGCAATCAATGCTACAGAAGTTTCTTGTCGCTTGGAACAAGAACATTTTGTAGCAATACGATTAGAAAGTGGATCTGAGACTTACAGATTTTTTGCCCAGATTTGTATCCTTTGATATAATGGTTATTAAAAAGCTTTGATTTATATATACATGTATTATGCATATGTGCATATGAGTTATTATAATTCTACATAATACATAAATTTTAATAAAATTATATATTTTCCTAAGCGTCATTGACTAGATCAATTGGTGCCTGTACCATCTTTATTCTTTATTGGTGAAAATGGCACACCTTTGGAAATTATTGCTGGTAGCACAACAGCAAGTGATTTAGCTACTAAAATTGATTTAGTCTTAACAAAAGTAGGAAAGAATAAAAATGCATCTATCAATTTGATAGATGCAGAACAAAAAGCTGCTGCAGCCAATATTAATTCTGATGTAAAAATTGAAGAAGATAAAAAAGATGATAACATAATGGAATCAAATATAGAAATACCATTACCTCAATCTACAACAGAAAATGAGAGTAATAATATAATTAAAGATGATATTAAAGAAGAACCATCTACAAATTTAAAAGAGCCAGTTAATGAAACAAAATCAGTTAACAATGAAACAAAGGAAACATCTACTAAAGAATTGACAGCCGAAGTATGAATTATTAGAAGAATTATTTTGGAATTTTTCATTTAAACATTTATGTTAATTAAAAATATTAAAACATTATATATATCCTTAGGAAAAAAAAGCAAGAGCACAACAGTTAATAATGTTGCAAAATAAACAACGTATGGAAGAGGAAGAAAGAAAAGAAAGAGAAAGGGAAATAGAGCGTCGCAAAATTGGCCGCGATGTACAAAAATTGCGACAAAAGCAACAAGATTTAGAAATGAAACAAGCTTATGAGGAAAGAATGAGGGAAAAAGCTGCTGATGCAGCAGCTAGAGAAAAAGTTTTACAACAAATTGCTCAAGATAAATTAGAAAGAAAACAAAAAGAACTAGCAATGCAACAGGTGTGTATAATTTTCTTATGAAAAAGAAATTTTCGTTAAATTTATCATTTTATATATCGATAAAATATAATTTTACGAAACGTAGCAACATGTTCAACAACAATCTGAGTCATCAGAACCATCTGAGCCATCAATATCAACGGCAACTGTCAGTAGAATACAATTTCGGTTGCCATCAGGCAATCCTTACATCGCACAATTTGAACCAACAAATACTTTACGCGATTTGCGTGCTTACGTTGTTCAAAATATTAATTTACCATTCCGTCAATTTGCGATGTCTACCTCTTTCCCTAGACGGGAATTAATGCCTGAGGATGATGATAAAACCCTTTTAGAATTGGAATTAGTTCCTACAGCGGTTATCTTAATTCTACCTTTGAAAAACGTAATTTCAATTTATACGAAAAATTTTAAATTTTTATCATATATATAATACTCCTTATTGTTTCGATTTATAATTTCAGTCGAACATGACAACTACCGTGACATCTACACAAGATGTTGGTATTGTACCACGACTCGTATGGTCCACTTTTGCAATTTTCACAGCTGTGTACTATTACATAATAGGTTATTTTAGCGGAGGTATACGAAAAAATACATCAAAGCAATCAAGCAATGCTATTGAAAAAAAGGATAGTAATAATGCAGGGGGATCAATTTCACCAAACATTCAAAATTTTGCGAGTACATCAGGGTAGGTTTCACATTTATAAAAATATTTGCATAAATGCAATATGATTGCAAACATTTAATATAATTATTAAATTTAGTTTAGTTAGAAGGTATTTGGGTAATCAAGGAAGTACTACCATAAAAACTGAAGGGAATATACACAGACTTCAATCAGGTGGGGATGATAACGATGAAAATAATACATGGAATGGTAATTCAACGCAACAAATGTAGATTATTATAAATCAATAAAGTTTTAACAGGCTTTACTATTTCACTAATCTTAGATATGCAACAGAAATCTTCGATTGAAAATCGAATTATTTTGTTAAACTTTTATACCTTTCTGTTCTCTATTGCATTACAATCGAGTGTCATTTTATTACTACCATAATTATGATGATACAATATGCTCGAGTAACGAACCAATTTTATTTAAAGAAAAAGTTTATTTGTGTTGTACGTTCACTGAATATCTGATTTTTTATAATCTAACATCACCTTATTAAATGTTAAATCGATAACTTACTTTAATAAGTTGCAAAGAATATAAGGACCAAAAATTACAATACAACAAATAAACTCGAATACACATCCCTATATTCGTATAGAGCATCAAAGATTTTGTTAGTATATATGTTTTGAGATTTCTTATGAAATAAAAATTATTTTGTCATATCACATTAATCAACGTTATGATATATTTTTGGGTAACAAGAATTGTACTAAGAATAGCAACGATGTTATGTTTTATTTTATGATAAAATGCAAAATGTATCAATTAGAAAGCTTTTATTCTGTTAAGATATGAATAAAAAAAATATATATATAAAAACATCTACACAAATTGTGAGTTTTTATTCTCACCCGCTAAATTTCTTTACATTATTATTTCGCGATTCCCCGAAACGTATAGTTAATGGCGTTAAATAATTAAGTAAGATGATACTGACAACAGTTTAATACAATGGTGAGAACATGGAATCATGACGCGTGATTTTTTGTCTAGCGAAACACGATTCCAAAAATATGTTCAAGGCAAGGGAAAATAAATGCCAGAAAAATATCTCTACCGTCTTGTTCTGCGGTTGACACGTTCGAACGAACCGATAATTTACATCTTTCCTACCTTAGCGCTGTCGATTGTGGCACCAATTAAGCGTAAAATTAACAAACATTTTGGCTGACTTGTTCGTTTAAAAGTGTCAGCTTTCTGGCAACGTAACATATTGCAGAACCTGTGAGAGGAGTGTCGTTCGGGTAACATGATCTTACAGACACACCTATTCGTCCTTTCAACAACTTACTATCTGCCATGTTTGATCATAACGTATTCATTAATTTTAAAAGTATAAAATTTGAAATTTTATTTTTATTCTTTCCTTTTTGATTCCGTAGAAAAATTAAAAGAAGTATGATAGATATAAGTATGATATATTTGAATCAGAATTTAGCTGAAAGCAATATTTCCTGTTCCGATTTATTCAGAAGAAGTTCACAAGTTGGCTGGTATAAGTTTGAAACAAATTTCTGCAATGTATATTGCTAGTTCGTATAATCGCAGCCAAGTTTCACATCTGTCAACAATTCTTGTATCATTTTATCATTTCTATCATCGTCTCATTAATACATGCAATTGTGCGTTTAATAATCTTATTAAACGTGTGAATGATTGTGCATCGTTCTCTCGGAATATAAATGGTAAACTTATCGTAAAATTTTATATAAATTTCATCGACCTTTGACGAAGTCAGAATTATTATGTATTACATTTTATAGCGTTACACCGATCATATTTAATATTTCGTATTTATTATATGCATTTATTACTTCGATATTTTTTCACTACTATATCGATCAATTATTAAAAAGAAATTAATCGTGTTGATTTTTTAAATTTCATCCGATAAGAAATTCTTATTCGAGCATATTCGATATAAATGCAACAGATTGAAAATTCATATCAAATTGCATTCGCCTTCTGTCAAGACAATTATTAAATAGCATTTCACAGCGGTGACAGAAATTTATGGATACCTCATTACCACCGTTTAGTGACTGCTACCGTCTCGTTGTACGAGATCATTAGGGGCTCCTTCCAGAAACGCACGTGCTTGCCAAGAACCGCCCAAACTTATTCAAGATTGGTTGGAAATACAATGACGTCATGAGCACGTGGCTTTTCGACACCGCCTCGAAGAACGAAGAATTTGACTTGGTTGCCAAAAAAAATATTGTTGGACATCGCGAGCAACCCCGACAATCAGTCGCTGGTTTCAACTCTAATCCCGCGAACGGATCACAGAGTATCTATGAATGGTTTAAATCGATCTCATAGTTGCAACTTCATCGATCAATATTGTTCCATCTTTCATTCAAAACTAAAACTAAAAATGTTTCATTAATTATACATGTAAATTGAACTTGAGAGGCAACGTTCAAACAGGTAGTGCTTGTGATGCGATAGTGATAAGCAGTGGAGATACGTGCAGTGAATTTGAAAAGATTTAGAGAAACATTAGATATATATCTTGAAAGTATCGAAGAGGATATCTAATCGATCGTTTTATCCGATTGGTGATAAGTCTATAGATAATAGTATTAAACATTTGAGAACGGCGAGGATTCAGGATGTCGGAGGAACGCGTGAAAACGACAGAAATCGGGAAAGATTCGATCAAATTGGTTGAAAATCCAAAAGTATGCTCCTTCAGTATCGAAAGTCTCTTAGCGCCCAGCAAAAACCCTGTTAAAAAGGAAATTTGCTTGTCTATTCAAACCGAAACGTATTTACATGGTCATGAATGTAAGTGTATACAATTTCTTTCTCATTATGCAAAAATTAGACGGGGAAATTAGAAAATAAAATTCGTTTAAACAGCAAATGATTCGGAGGGACGGAAACTGGTAGCGCCAGATTCGTCCATGTCGATGATAGAGGAAATCGAGTTCGACGATGCCGATATGGTTTGCTCCACATCCCCCGAACCAGAAATGTGTTATGGTAAGTTGAATCGAATTTTTAAATTCTAAAATTTTTCATTTACAATTAATTTACAATGAGATTATTATTCTGAAAAGATTGAAAAATTTTGAAAAATATTCGACGATCCTATTAAAAAGAGGAAGATCGATTATTATTGATAACTAAGTAAAACGTATCTATTTCTAAACGAATCGGTAAACATCGAGAAATTAAAGATAAAATGACGTTTACGATATTCAATCTAATGACAGACTCTGTTTTGTGAGATTATACGGTGTAACTGAACAAATTATACAGGTGCCGCACACTTGTGTTTGCTTTGTCAAATTACTTAATAAAAGTATATCGAGTGAAAACACGGAGACAAATGCACGAATATTTTAATTCGCAAACAATCGAGTTATTTCAGTTGAAAGATTGCTATTTAAGACATCGCGTGTTTATATTTTCTCAAACTGTGCGATTTGATGAAGATATCTCGATTGTACGGCAGATAGATAAATATGAAATCAGCACTAAAATATAAATCGTTTGATATTTTTTTAAAAATCCTAATCATTCAGTCTGTTAACTATCCGTTTAAATTTAATTACTTCTCATTATCTAGAAACTTCTCGTTAAATTCCGAGTAAATAATCAATAAAACATGTCGTAAGATCGTGTGACAACGTACGACGACGCAAATATTCCAATGCCAACACGAAAGATCAAGATTGCATACTTTGTATGTTTCAACTTCGCGGTTATTACACATTGTGTAATAATGGGTAATTGTTTCCACTTAATTCGGATATTGTTACCAGTTTGAAAGGGAGTAATTGTTACAGAATCCACATGCCTCCTTCACGTGGTAACAAATTCGTAAGTTTGCGCGGAGGACCGTTACCCGTGAGTTTGATCCATTACTTCCTGCAGGGTCCACGCCCACTCAATGTTCCTGCTTCTCGTCCACTATTTATCTGTCTCCTGCTAATTCTGCCATGGAAATGCAGCAAAATATGCCTCCGCGTCTCTATAAAATGAAAAAAAAAAAAAAAGTATTAGAATCAATTAATTATGATTCGATTTCAATTTTCAGAAAATTTATTTATTTATAAAAAAATCTTGATTTATATTCGCTTCTCAATTGCTTACTTATAAATTGCTTATTAATAAGAAATAAATTATTGCGATAAATTACTTTTTATAATTAGGCATAAAATCATAGATCAACGCTTATAGAAATTCCTACTAAAACCGCTCATTTTGTCATCATAATGCCAAGTATGATGTACAAAGAGTTATTGATAGTTGGCTCAACTCAATTCCATTTTACAAAGGGAGTCTTAGATTCTCGACGACTAATTTTCACCAAGGACCCTTGTCTCGCGTGATTTACACAACGTAATGGTCACCGCGATAAATTCGGGATCTAAGGAAAGGACAATTCTCGTTTGCGCCATGCGTTTGGACTGAGATATGTGGGACGTCGCGTCCAACTACAAAGCCGTCAACGCAACGCGTAAATCTCTACGAAAACTGCTTTATGAACGAACAAAATCGTCTAAAAAAAAAAATGTTCTTTTATCATAAATGGTCTTTTCTAATTTTTAATAAATTTTCTCGGTTTAATATTAATAATTTTCATAACTTCGTAATAATATATAATAATGATGCATCCATTTAACGCATAACACATTATCTTCATTAATCATCAATTTTACAATTGTCTAATTGGTAATATAAAATATGCTATATCCTTTGTTGAAATCTCTACATCTTGATCTCTGATTTTAGTCATTAATCTCTCAGAATATCTCTATTCTAGATGATAACAAAAGATCTAGTAATCTGTCTATTGTCTGAAGAGTCCAATCGGTACAACTTATGCGCACGTATTAATTATCTTGCTGGTTGGTCACAAATGTGAAATCGTGCAACGCCGAACGAATGAAAATTAGCCATGGTTTATCGCATTTCTACCCGTGCTCTCGCCATTCATCACCGAATAATTAGGAGACAAGTTCGCCGTGGCTCGCGGCAATTAGGTAAACTAGAGGGCGTGGTGTTCTATTTCGGCGATGCTCGCGGTGCTCCTCGCCGGTTTCCTCCGCACGCTTCTTCACGTTTTAAGCTTCTTTTTGCGTTTCCTTCCACGTCAACCCTTTCTTCCCTTTTCTTCTTCTTCTTCTTCTTCTTCTTCTTCTTCTTCTTCTTCCTCCTCCTCTTCGTGGAGCTCGTTCGTCAATGCAACCGAGTCAGAAAGTCGACGACAAATGAGCCGCGTGAGAAAGCGGCACTCTCCGAAAATATTTTCCTCTTCCGCTCGAACGTTCAGATTTTTTTCCCTGTAAATAACATTATCTTAAAAAAATATTTGTTGGACAAACATCGTTTAGAAAAAAAATCTCTACGATTTTTTTTACAGGAAAAAAGTCAGATGAGTTTCTAATCCTTTTCCATTTTACATTTACAATTGTTCACAGACATTATTCTAATGAAATTGTTCAAATGTAAAATGTAAACACGTGCAACTTGTACAGTTTGATATTATTATCTGCGCGTACTGTTTCCCAGCATCCAAGTTGGAATCCTTCCTGAATTTACACGTGCAGAAGCGTGCACGTCGCACGACGTGGTTCCACGCCGAGTGAATTAGAGGCGGTACAGTTTTAGCCGACGATTCTGTAGTACGGGGCTGAAGAGAAGTCTCGAAAAACGCGCGAGAAACGCGACAATTACGTCGCCATCTGACAATTAGTAGCCGGTAAACGACAGTCCGCGGTCCCTGTAACCAGGCCGCAAATACTTTTTTCGAGATATTTATTGCACCTCGGGCTGCAAGGGTCGACCCAACCGATCCATTCTTCTCGCAAACGAGGAAGGTTTTGTCATCGATTTATCGACGCGAAAATAACCGATTCTCTTCAGGTTTGACATCATGATAGACGAGTTTTTCTTATCTATCCGAAATTCTTGTTCAAACACACGAGATACTTATTACAACAAAGAATTTGATTTAATTACACAATGTGTTTTAATATTAATCTTAATATTAAAACTGTCTTTAGCTTTTATAGCTTTGTGCGCTCTTCATTATCCCAAATGTGATAATAAAATAGGATGGAGAGTTTGGGACACGAATGGTATCGCTGTGTCGGTAGTATACTTTTTCCTTCAAAGTAGCAGACGTACATATATTCAACGATGAGCGTCGTGCTGCCATGGTTTTTCGTCGGATGACGAATGGGCAGATAATTAGAAGATGATCCCCGCTGGTTAGAACGCGGCCCTGTTACCAGTCGACTAAAAGAGACCCCAAAGACATTCCTCATGGGCGAGGCGCGACGTCTTGTACTGGCGGCTTGTAAGCTCGGGATAAATATAAATATAAACAACTTCGATGGAGGAAAAAAGTAACGAGATTGATGAGGAAAGAAATCTTAAAGGGGTAATTGGATCTGTTTAAATTGAAAAAAAAGACCGCCATTCTTGCGCTATATATCTCTTTAAAGATCTCTTTAATTTAAAAGCAATTAAAATGAGAACAAACTACGTTACGCGGCACTGATGATAAAACACCGTTTCATCATTAATGATAGATCATTGTCATTATGCTCAGTTGTTTAAATCTAGTTGCATTCATTTCTGATCAAACATTGAATATAATGTTATAGTTTATAATTTGCGGCAGTCTACTGTTTAATCTCACATAAGATATATGTTATTAGATCTCATTTAATCACTGCGTGTTTTCATTCCTCTTAATCATGATGAGGTAACATGACTAGCGTCGCGCAATTATTCGATAATTACACGATAAGGAAATGTTGTTTAATTATCAGTTCTCGCCGATGTATATCACGATATATATATATATATATATATATATATATATGAAATGTGTGTAATCTTTTTCATGATGTTACTAGAGGCGTGCACTAGCAGTAGCGGTGCCAATTCAACGACAAGTGTGGATAGAGAGGTTCAAGAAAAAAGTGACAGCATCATTAGCGATGACGAAAGAAAGAAGAGGCCTCGCACTGCGTTCACCGCGGCGCAAATTAAATCATTGGAAGCGGAATTCGAGAGGAACAAATACCTGAGCGTGACGAAGAGGTTACAGCTCAGTAAAAGTTTGAAGCTGACTGAAACTCAGGTACATATTACATAATTTACATCATTATTCGTAGTGAAAGAACAAAAATCGTTCGTTTGTAGACATCTTTTTTTGTAGACGAGAAAAATTGTATCATTAAATTTCGTAATAATGAGAAGAACTGGAACTAAGTAAGATTCCCTTGTGATTAAATGGAAACACATTTCGCGGAAGTTGTTCCGAACAAGATGCACTGCACACAATAAATTGCGATAACGTCTGCGACTTCCGTAGGCTAGGGCACCTGAAATAGTTTAAGTTTCTTGTACCCTGTGTTCCCTCAAAATCAACCGAGCGCTGAATTATGGCTTCAAAGGCTACCATATGTGTAGGCGCCAGATCGTGGCGCCATGGGGGAAGATCGCCCTTTAGGACCAATTAGCACTTATACGCCCTTTCTTCTCGCAAGGAAGAGACGAGAACGCAAAATGTTCGTTTCTTCTTTTCGCGGAAATCTTCAATTAATCATTATACAGGATAAATTACATTTTACTTAGAAATTCGATTTTATGGATCTTTGTCGCCACGTTCAATTTCATTTTGGTCACTTTTCCAAGTACTTTGGTTTCTAATTTCTAATATTATCCTTGCAATCTGAAGTACTCAACGAAGATTTAGATAATTCTTGCACAAAGTTGTAGAATGGATAGCGACAGTTACATAATTCTCCTATTTACTTTACAGTAGCAGCAACCGGGTTTGATGTTTGATATTGCATCGCTTTAAACTAATTAATTTATGATAATGCCTCTAGATATTTTCTGTTTGGCTAAGTAATGTTGCCGACCAGTAATGTTGCAAGCTGTAATAATTGCCATCAAAGTGGTAGAAATATCGCGGGATAGCCGTGAACGGAGCAGATAATTATCATAGCAAAAGGGAAGGATGATCAGACGACGGATCAGAGAAGAAGGAGACGTGTCGTGGTGCAGACATAACTGTCACAATATTTCTCGTAGTTAACGAGCCAGCTCCGGGAGTCCCCTTCTTCTTACTCTGCTGTTCCTCCGATTCGTGCTTGCGTTTCCAGCATGCCATAAGAACGAAGCATCTCGAGACAACGGATGCTTCGAGGCGACGGACCGAAGAGGCGTCGATTTTTTAATTAGGATATATTACTGCTTTGAACGTTCTGAATCCGGTTTAGGAGTTCCCCTTCTGAAGAAAATTCTGTAGAAATTGTGTCCAAGATGCTGACATCATTTTTTCCCTGCATTGCTTCATGTGTTTCATCTTTTTCTCAGGCTTCGTGTGAAACATTTAATCTTCTGTTCCTTTGTTCATGATATTCTAGGAATGAGGAATGATTCATGCAATTATTTGATACAAAAGTTTCATATTTTATAAATATGAATATATTAAAAAAAATAGTAGTTTGCAAAGCTTACAATTTCATATGCATTGGAGAAGAGCTTTGCAAGCGCCTCGGTAGCGCAGTAGGCAGCGCGTAAGTCTCATAATCTTAAGGTCGTGAGTTCGATCCTCACCCGGGGCAAATATTTTTGATTTTAATCGGAAGAAATTATTATTTAGCTATAATCTTGATATATTATAAATTTAGCTTATCTTATCCTCTTGATCCTCTCATTCTTATCTATAATTTTTTCATGTACCTCCTTCACTTTACTCATTAAATTTAGCATTACAAATGGATATTATTCGCTAAAACATTTTATATTTGTTAATATACCAATCTTGTGTTCACAGATTAAAATTTGGTTTCAAAATAGACGTACAAAATGGAAAAGAAAATACACAAATGATGTGGAGCTCTTAGCCCAACAATATTACTCCAGTTTAGGAATTCCTGCACCACGGCCAATTTTTGTCGAGGATCGTCTTTGGTAAATATTTATTTCCAAAAAATTTAATTTCGTTTAAAAATGATAATTTTCTACAGGTTTTTTAATTATCCAACGCAATTACAACCAGGAGCACCGATTTTTCCACAGCATTTAGCAACTGTTCCTTTGCCATCAGCTTTACCCATTGTACAACCATTACCAAGTAACATAACGATGGGTCCGACTTCAATTTTTCAAAATATCTCCGCAAATAGTCCGACATATCATTTAAGCCAAAGATTAGACTTTAGGCATCAAAATTCTTAGGTATAAAAAAAATCTAATTCAGTCGTATTAAAGGATTTCATGTTTAATTATCGAATCCTTCGAAATTACGATATGTGATACGTATTTTTGAAAATTTTAAAACATTATAAAAAGCAATGAAGATATTCATTAATTTTTTTTATTACTTTAATAAATAAATAATGTTATAATAACGCCAAATATTTCAAAACTTTGTTGGAATCCTAAATTATAAAAAATAAAAATATTTATATGATTGCATGTAAAAAAATAAACAAAATATATCAACATTACTTTCGCATTTATTATAGATAAATATCATATATTCATTTATCTATAATATTTATTATAGATAAATAATATATATATATAGTAAATAATTTTTATAACAATTTCTTGTTTTTAATGAAAAACTAACAAATATATTTTTATCTGTAATGATATATGATAAATGATATATTATATATTCTAAGATAATAATAAATAGTATAATTCCTTGAATCTTATTAAATATGTTATTAAAGTTATTAAATTATTTATTACCTGTACAATAAATAAAAATATAAAAAATAATATAAATACAATATTTCAACAATGACTTTATTACAGAGCTGAAGGAGACAAAACTTTACTGACACCCAAAATTTTCTCATCGTGAGCTGCTTGATCCTGTATAATTTTAGCATATTTCTCATTGTCCTGTAAATCTTCTTCATCCAACATTTCTTGCATTCTTTGTTTATAGCTGTAACAATATAATATAGAGAATCTTATCATATTACATCATATTATATTAAGATTTACTCCAGATAGATTAGATTTATAAATAATAATAATAAAAATATACTTACATTTCACTATCAGGATTATTTTCCTGATTTCTACATTTTTCTAATTTTTTTTCTAAAGCTCTTACCATTTCTCTTGAAGGAGGATCTACACATTTAGCCATAGATCTTATTTCTATAATAACTTTCTAGTTAAAATACATTATTGAAATATCAACTAAATAACATTAATAAAAGATATATTTACTTCTTACTGCTTCTATTATACATCCCAAATGTTCTTTAGAGAACAAAATATCAGTCACATAATTATCTAAATTAGCGGATGCTCTGGATGCAGCATGTAATGTTGCAGCCAATGCAACTTGGCTTGGAGTATATAGTAAAACGCTATCAGTCAAAAATACTCTTTCTAAAAATTCATCAATATATGGCCTTAACCTTTCTGGATTTTCCAAAGAGGTATACCTTGTCTAAAAAAATATTAATTAAGTTTGGTTGAATATCAGATTAACATTGATATAAAGGTATTTAAAGTATACCTTGATATCTATCATTAAACCTTCTACTGGCCTGAATGGATTATGTACTGTCAAATTATAATTTAACTGTTGCATAAGAAGTAATTCATTATTAAGTATAATATCAGATGCTTTTTCTCTATCTCCTTTAATATTTGCAACAAATTGATATATGGAGACATTAAATTCTTCTACCTAAAATGAATTGCTATAGCAAACTATAGAAATTCAAAAAATAATTATTCAAAAATAAAAAAAATAATTACTTTACAGGCCAAGTAGACACATGTGACTAAAATCTCTTTGGGATGATAATCCATAACACTGTTTCTGAGATAGAATCTTTTGAAATAATGTAATGCAGTTGCTATAGTAGCACGTGGCATTGAAGGAGTAAAACGACGACAAAAATCTCTTAATTGTAATTCATAAAAACGAAGTAATATACGTTCTTCTGTATGGGAAAGAAAATGTTCTTCCCTTTCCCCTGGCTTTTCAAAATATATATTATGTATTACAATTAGAGAAAATATGATTCATTCACTTAACAAATATATAAAATTCATGTATCTTATAGTATTATAATAGTATAAGATACATGATATAAGATAAGTGATAAACGAATTAACATAAAACATAGTAACATAACAAATTAAAAACTTAGTAACATAAAAATAATAAAATAATATATACGTATAATTATAGCTTATCAATAAACACAAATAATTAAGAGTAAAATGAATATTTAAATAACCTATAAATTATAGAAACTAATTTAAAGATAATATTTTAAATTCAAAATTGTTTATATTTTATTGAAAAACAAAATATAAAATTGCATTCTCAACTTACCGTTAAAAACAGCACAACTTACCGTCATGTTTGCACCATGTTTTTGAATAAATTCTGCGTTGGTTTTCTCTCTCAACGCTGTCAAATCATTTTCATCATTAAATATCCAATACCTACTCTGTGAACTTTGTGGAAACATTTTTGTTCCGCTTTTGAAAAGTTTGAAAACCGACAGTTTATGATTTAAGGATGAAATTCGAAATTGACATACGCACAATGAAACGCGGTAAAACAATATATTAAATATTCAAGATGGCATACTTCTATAATGTTTTGATCAATGAACTAAAGAGGGCAGCAGTAGGTATGTTTCGCGCCATTTTCATGTCGATATGGTCACGTACTATGCAGTAAATATGCTATATAACATTCTCGCAGGAAAAGTTTTGTTCACAAAGGAAGTTATCTTGTTTATTTTAAATATAACAAACGCATTTATATTTTTTTAAGTGAAAAAAAGTGAAGATAATATTTTTTCGTAATAATATCAATAGAATGCAATAATCAACAAGTGTGCTACATTGTTACAGTTGGTTTTCATGTACGACACTCATTACAAATGGTGAAGTATTTATACTGCAATTAAAAATAACAGGTAATAATTAAATTTCTTTTTTATACAATTGTTATTTAATTTATATTTATTCATTTTATTTCAAATGAAATTGAATAATAAGAATATATTGTTTTTAATATGGTATTATTTCGATTTGTTGTTTATATTTAATCATAGATTATATCATAGGTTAAACATTGCATAACATTGCATACATATTTTAACATATAATATTACGAATTATTCGTGGAACGTGTCGTACTTGTTGATATTTTTATTATTAAAAAAGAATGTAGAAATTCAATTTAATAAATATAGAAATAATAATAATGTACATTATTATTATTTCTATAACCTAAACCTATTTCAATAAAAAGTTATAGGGAGAAAGAAAAAAAAATATATAAATATAACAGAAGAAAAATGCAATATGCACAACTGCACAATTGACAATATAAACAACTGCATGAGCTTTGAGTATGATGTTCTGAAATGTCAATGTTCAAGAAAGTTATGGTTTAAAGATACGAGTTGGTGAATACAACAGAGGAGTTTTCGGTAAAAAGGATCATATTTTCTGGTAACGTGATTGTACGTGCCAGTAATAAACAAGATCGGCGAAATGGTTGATAGAAGGTCAGAGGTGGGGGGCACAATTTTAATATGTACGCCCCCGCAAGCGGTTGCACGTCGGATCTGAGGGGGCGTTCCTACGACCCTTTGTCAACCGACGACGCCGCTGCATCTTATCACGATCAAGGCTCGGGATCTCCCATTCTGCTCTTCCACCTCGTTCAGCCCTCGAGGCCATCCCGGTGCTGCCGCTTGTTCAAGCAAAGACGTTGCCTCGACGTCTCAGTGGCTATAACTTTCTACTTTTTGTACATTGATTTATGCTTCTTTATACTATGCGACGATACGTTGTCGTGTGGTACAGTGTGGTACATCTCTTAAAATTTGAGCCAAGCATCTGCATCTCGTATCACGAAATAATCTCAGATGCAAGATAAAACAATCTCTTGGAATTTCTATTTATTTAAATTAATTCTTACATAAATAACGAAATATGAAATCACAGCTTACCACCAGTGTAATATATCTATTCGTATAAATTATAAATTATTAATAATTAAAGACAATTTTCAATTTGTCCGACTGATACTCGAGAAGTTTAATTTCCGACGAAATCCATGTCAAGAAATGATATGGCATCGAAAGTGAAGTACATCCGCCATTAATCTAATATTGCGGTTGCCGCCGCCCTCGACTTTGCGTGTTGCACCCTTCCGCAACGAAGCTTGCTCCCTTCGTACAAATACAAACGTAACTATTGTGGACAATCACCTATACAAGAATGTACACCAAGATATATGTACGTGAATACGAAGAAAAAGAGAGCCAATCGGTTCGGTTTACTAGTAGCGATAATGCAAAATCAATATTTGGTATGGTGTATAAGGTGTGACGAATAAAGTGGATTACAATCCCATCACGTCCCAATGGTTCACCGCAATCAAAAAGAACTTTCCATCAAATTGCAGTTGTCTCTTTCATTAAATATGAGACGCAAGTGAAACAGGCGTGCAAAGAAGAAGATACTTCGAAGTTTAGATGTTGTTACATTGAACAATGGGTATAGATGAAAAAATATTGCATATGTATGCACATGTTTTTGTATGCGTGACCTAGTGTATCGCATGACCGTTAGCATTCCGTGGTATCGTCGTCGGTTAACCCGCAAAAAGCGGTATCACGCCTGCTTCTAACACTCCACGTCTGATCGGCTGGGTATCTTGCACGCAAGCCTTCGGCGATCGAAACCTTCTCGTGTATTATTCGTCATGATGAACGTACTGTTTGCATATTATATGAAGTTAATGGTCACAACTCTTTCTTTTTCTCTCTTAAAACTGGTCACCATTAGGCTTAACAATATTTCAAAAATTGTTATGCAATATGTTATGCAATGTTGTTAAGATAATCGATTTACTTCATTAATTAAGAGACACACGTGCGCGAAATATAAATACAAAAGGAATACATTATTAAATAATGTTCCATTATAAGAATATTTCTTAAAAGAAACAACAAGAATTTTTGATTCAAACGTGTATACACATAGTTTGTATACGTATAAATTTAAAGGTATATAAAATCAATATATTTAGACTTGTTTAATTATCTAGAGCCTCAGATTCGTGTTAACAAACAATATATCATATGTCTTTTGTACACAATGTGCATTATCTACTATCAGATGTCTCGGATAATATGCGTTCACTAGTCTGTGAAATGATTATATATGTGTACCGTGTATACGAAACTAAATTTACCAAAGACGTTACGTAACAAATCATAAATCTCGCAGTCAGTGAGCGTACATAGTTAGAAAATCGTGGTACACTGACTCATTGCAATTGCAGTAAAGTATTTCTATACATGTATATTCTCATATACGTGTCTGTAAATATATTTATGCAGCTCACATACATACACGCAAATATTATAAT